TGGGAAGCTCCAGTCGGCATCTGATGGCTCGATGACGTCCTGCGCCAACATCTCTTCGATGTGTTTCGTTATGAACCCACGACCTGTCCAGCTGGTTCTGGCGGGATTGCATTTCACCGGTTTCGCATCTCCCGTGTCAATCACATGGGTGATCCCTTTGACATCTCCGTACGGTTTCTTTGATGTCGGTAACACCTTCCAGAACTCCCAGAATGCGCTATACACATCATTCTTCTGTTCTTGTGTCAGATCAGGTCCGAGTTTCAAGTTGCCGATGATCTTTGTCAGCTCAGCCTTCGTTACGTCGTCAACTGTTGGATCAGAGAGCACGTTCCTTACTGTGCCACTATTGACCTGGACGTTCTCCATATGATCATAGGGTTCCACATATCCAAGGAACTGTCCTTTTTTGACAACTTGCCGTTTAATGCTATGATTAGCAATGACCAGATCGAAGTGTTTTCCTTTATGATCTGTTACTCCGGCTAACGGTTGGACATCGGTTTCAACTTGAAAGACAGGTGTAAACATCAGCTTCTCGTTAGCTGGGACAAATCGTGCCATCTTAACTTTGACTCGTGTGCAAACAGATGGTTTCAGGAAGATCCGTTGATCACTGTAGACTCTAATGGTCTCTCGGTTTAATCTCATCCGTTGCACCTTCGTTCTTCGCACTTTGATCTCCTGCTCCTTTTCTTCATCGACCTCGTCATCTTCATCGACATCGAGTAGGTTCTCCTGTTCTGAGAGGTCGTTTACTCCCGAGTCTTCTGAGGTCGTTGAATTATCACTTGAACTCGTCCAATCTGAATCCGAGTTGCTGCCATCATCATCCTTTGCAGCCCTTTGTTCAAGTGGTCGCTCATCAGCTCCTTTTTCAGATGAGACGTCATCTTCATCACCTCGTGAATCGCTAAGTTTTTTCGTCTTCGCATTTTTGGGCAGAGGTTTGCCCGTTTCCATCGTTTTTCTTCCATATTTAGCTGCGATTCTCGGGTGGCTTCGTGTTACTCGTATCTTTGCCGATGACTTTCGTTCATCTGAGGTGGACCTCCCATTGTCCGGAGCTGCTCCTTCCAGCTCATCGATCTCCTTGAGGCTCATTAATGGGCTTTTGTCGATCGGTGGACCTTCCTCACCGTTATCGAGTGTCTCCTCGTCCTCTTTTGCCTTTGTTACTGGGTCTTGTTGACCATCCGAGATCTTTTGGAGCTCTTCGTTAAACTTTTCCCACATCTTTCCTCTTTCCGTTAACATTTGTGCGATTTCAAATGCTGTTGGCGATCGTTCTTCAGTCGCATTATATTCCTGTTCAGCTGGTTCTGTAGGCAGATCCTCTTTGTGCGCCTCTTTTGCAGGCTCTTCATCTGCCTTATCTTTCTGAGCCCTTTCGTAACCTTTAGGTCGTTTGGGACCGACAAAGACGCAATTCGCCATCAGCTCTTCGGTGACCCAATCGTCACTTGGAATCGTTTCGTACATGCACCACGTGTCGCCACCCCGCTCCGGGTATTCAACTCCGTCAGGATCTGGTGCAAAAGTCACCTTCTTCTTTGTCATAAAACCCGCTTCCCTTCTTTTGCGAGTTACTTGTAACTCCCGCATTTCCTTAACGTTAAATGTGGGGATTTCATCTTCGAACTTTTTCCAATACGTTTCGAATATCTCCGAGTCGTCGTGGTGAAGTGCCGTGCAGAATTGCTCGATTGACTCATAAACAGGTGTGCCAAGTCCGGATGGGAAGTTAATCGTTTTCCCTTGGCCTCTGTACATATGGTTGATGCGGAAATCCCAGAACAATTCTATTCTCGCATTTTCCCATATCTGGATCTCTTCGTTCATTTCTTCGGTTTCAACTTCAAGTTTCCGTTTTGACAATATTACCTCATGAGGGTCTTGGATTCCATTATCCACGCATCGTTGCCAGTATTGCAACCATTTTCCTCTTCCATATACGAAGTTTCTAACGCATGATAGCCACGTTCGGTATCTGTTCCAATGATAACGTTCGATGTGTGGGTTACACATGCTCATGGTTCGTAAGATACTTCGCACTTCTTTCGGGACGTGACTTTTAAGGTCTGCTATCGCTGCGTTACATTTGGGCCATTCTGACAGGTCATCTTGGGATGCAATACGGTTACACTTAGTGCATTCCCACTGCGGTTGGATTCTGCGTGGATCTTCGTAATAACCATGATGGCAACTCCCGGCTCTTTCTTCTGGGGTTAAAATTCTATCCGCTGGTTGTGTGACCATTACATCGTTTCGTTTTTTGGCGCTTTGCGCACATTCAATGAGTGTCACCTTCCTTCATCTGAGGGTATTTCAATGACCTCCGTTCCCACTTTCTTCTGGTGGTCTTTCAATTGTTCAATTGCTTTGTCGCGGATTTCGCTCGCGAACATCTGTTCCTCTTCAGTTATTCGTTTTAATATCTCCATTGGGACTTCTATCTTTTCTTTGTCCGGATTTTGCTTTTCACTCCCAGTGCCTCTGGTACTGGGATAGGCTTCTGACCACTCCAAGTCCGGTACAAGAGCTCGTTTCGCTTCGATTGCTGCTTCTCTTTGTGTAGCTGTGATTTGCTCAACGTCAAAGGAGTTTCATCTTTTGTTCCCAGTGCCTCTGGTACTGGGATAGCTCCTTATCATCCTTTTGATCATCTGTCGTCGTTTCCCGTGCCTCTGGTACTGGGATAACGACGTTAACCCGGTTTATCGATTTGTCTGATGATCTCCCCAACCTGGTAGAGATGTCCCGCTGGATAGCTGTCATCCGTTCAACTATCGAAAGCTGGGCAGATGAACCTTCCTTTCTTACGTTCATCTTTTTCGATCCCAGTGCCTCTGGTACTGGGATAGCCCTTTGCTCCGTTTTAGCTTTAACTGCCCCTTTTAAAAGTTCTGCAACTTTTCCGGTTTGAACTTTGGCAATCGGCTTCGGTTCATCTTCGACTTCCTCCTCCCCATGATTATCGATTAAGACGAACTTTGTCGCCAGGAAATCATGTCCCAATAAGACTTGTACGTCATCTGTCTTTGGTCTCACATAGAAGGAGTGTTCCGTAGTTCGTTTTCTTAGCGTTACTGGTGCCACAGAGTAGTGTGTAACGACGAAACCCGATGTGCCGCTGATTCCATTTATCTTCACGAGCCTATCAGGTGGCAGCGGTAAAATGTGAAGTCCGTTCTTTTCACAAAATGGTCGGCTGATCAGCGATGTCTCAGCTCCCGTATCCAACATTGCTATCACTTTGATGTCCCCAACTTTGACTTCATGCGTATACGCTTCGATCCTTTTTGGTAAGTTCCCATTTTGGACTTTTAACTTCCGGACTGTACATTTAACTGGTATCAGTGATACTGGTCCCGGATCCGTGTCAGATAGCACCTGCCCGTTCGCATAAGTGCTTTTCTTTTTCAGTAATGAGCTCAGATGATCGATACGATGTGGCACATCAGTTCGGATATCGTAGAATTCTCTTTTCTTCATCTCCTTTGAGCTTTTTAATTCCTCACATTCATTTTTTGTTGTAGCTTTTACATCACTGTCGGCCTTTTTGACCTCATTTAGTTGCCCCTTCGCAACATCTGTGTGCTTCTTTGACACTTCAGTGATGGTCTGATACAGCTTGGTCGCATCTCGGTTATCTGCCGGTTTATCGCGGAGCTTGTCAATGACCTCCTTTGTAATCTGCTCAGCCAATGTCAGCTCATCTTCTTCGCTATCTTTCAACTCTTCTGGTGATCTCTCATAGACGATCATCTTATGCTCGTTGTCTTTCATCCAGTCAGTTATCTTTTTAGCCCATTCATTGTCGGTTTGCTTCGGCTCGACTTGTGAAGACATCCCCTCTGTTCTGGGTGGTGACCTGTTAGCGTCATCCTGCAGAACTTGCAAGAAATCCCGTGGCTTCTCTTTCTTCTTTATGGTAAATCCGCCGTTTGGCAACTTTTGTAACGGAACTTTTTCTCCGTAATTCGGCGGCTTGCCTTCTGGCGGGGCATTTTTCAAGTAGCAGAAGTCAGCTGGTGTCATCTTATACGCTGGGGCTGTATTGAGCATATCTGGGTTCTGCGTTGAGCACGATGAGCACTTCCGGGTCGGGACTGGGTTCTTTAACCCTTTGGATGGTTTCCCGGTAACCATCTCCTCGAGACGTTTTCTCGCAGCATCCGTTTGAAGCTGTTTCATGTCCCAGAAGTCTTCTTGCGACATTTGTCCTTTCAGTTTCGCTTTTGGCGTAACCGGTATCCACATCCCGTGATTTCCGTTTGGTCGATATGCCACCTTTTGCCACATCTGCTTTTGATTCAGCGTGTTCGCATCATCCAGCGAGTCATCGGAGACCTGTTGTGCTCGTTCGCTCTCGTTTAGCTGCACATTTCGCAGCGTCAGTTCCTTTGCCTGACCTGTTTGGACGACCTTTTTGTCGTCTTTTTTAACTACGCTCTCCTATCTCACTGGTGCGGTAGGTGACGAGTCGTGCTTTTCTTGGTTACGCAGGAACTCGCGGAATCTGGCGTGCTGCTCATCCGTTTCTTTCTCTTCCTCCATCTTCTTTTTGAGGTTCGCTTTACGGATGATCTCGTTACGTTGAGCACGTCGTTCTTTCAGTTTCTCTTCGCTACAGTAAGGTGATCTTGCCTTATTGTTCACCTCGTTGCTCGCAGTACCATTCTGCGGCAGTGGTCCTTTGCCCACTTGTGGTGGCATCTTTTGAGCCATCTCACCTGCAGTCCGATTCTGCGGTGACTTCGCAGTACTATTCTGCGGCAGTGGTCCTTTGCCCACTTGTGATGGCGTCTTTTGAGCCATCTCCTTCAGCTGCTGTGACGGCATCTTATAAGCCGTTTCGCCTCCAGTTCGATTCTGCGGCTGTGGTACTTTGCCCACGGGTGATGGCATCTTTTTAGCCATCTCGAACACAGTCCGATTCTGTGTTCCTCCTTTATCCGGTGGTTTCGGTTCAGGGAGATCAGCAGGCTCACCGGCGCCTACTGATCTTGCTCGTTTCCTTGGTTCATTTCCTGCTGCGGGGCCTGCTCGTTTTGCTGCCCCTGGCCAGCGCCGTTCGCGCCGCCGCCACCGTTGTTCTGGCCGCCGCCACCACCGTTATTGTTGGCGCGCCAGTTCCGGTTGCCGTATCCGCCGCGTCCATTGCCGCGACCTCTTCCTCGGAAGCCTCCTCTGCCTCCGCCGTTATATGTGCCACCCTGGCCACCTCCTTGATTGCCGCCGTTCTGTTGCTTGAACTGGCGCCATGCTGCAACCAAGTCGTAGCCGTTCGCTACCGCCTGTCGCCAGCCGCCTTGGGTGCGGAGTCGTTCCCACTCTTGGGTGGCGAACAAGTTCGGATTCCGGTTTAGTGGCATGTTGGCGAACATGCAGTTCTGTGCGTCGTGGTTGCCAAATCCACAGTTCTGACACAGCTGCACGCCCTGGGTCACCCATCCGTCAATTTGACCGAATTTCCATTCAGTTCGGGAACCTTGCTGTGGCTGATAGTTGCCACGGTTCTGCTGGTAGTTCCCTTGATTCCGGTTTTGGTTGAGGTTGCCAATTCCCTGGCCATTACCATTGTTCCAGTTGGCATTTCCGTTTCCTTGGCCATTATTCCAGTTGTTGTTTCCGTTTCCATATTGGTTTCCGTTATTGGGCCTTCCTTGTTGAGGTGGCACCCCTACGTTCAGGGGGTTCGGCATCACATTAACCGGGGCCACTGGTCGTGCCTGTGCCTGCGCTTGTATCGCAGCGACCATGGCGTACGTGATCGGTTGTCCGGTCTGACTATCGATGAAAGTCACTTGGTTCTGGACCGGAGCTGGTGATCTCGGCCTATATTCCATTTGTTGAGCTGGTGCGGCTGCATATTGTCTCGGTGCCATCTCAACTTGGCCCTGTCGGATGGTCACGACCTCCGGTTGGTTACGTTGACCTTCCACCACTTTATATTTATCTTCTCCAGCTGCCCATGATCGGAAGAAGTCCTTTATCTCGGTTGGCGTCTTGAACCCCTTCGTTTTCAAGGCGTTATAAAGGTTATTATCAACCCTGCATCCATCTATGAGGAATGCCACCGCTTGCAATTCGGTGATCGCCTTCTTCGTTTTGAATTTCATGATCGCTTGTGACGGAATATGGTGTACGTAGCGGCTTAGTACAGTACGTTTTCCATCAGTACTCGTACATGTTTGTACTTTTCTAGCATTTTCCTTTTGTCTTCGGATATACTTTTTGGCTTTTCTAACCGGATGCGCTTCGCGCCTATTTATATAAGTCCGAGAGTTACAGTATTTGGCATGATCAGTTCGTTCTCATTCTGGGTTTGGCAGTGTCGGAGTTTTCCATTAAAATATATCGTCGGAATGCAGTGTCATATTCTCGCTTCGCGTAGATCGTAGCGTATGCATATTTCTTAGTTATGCCACATTGAGATTATCAGCTCATTCTCTGTCGTTGAGTCAGGTCGGTAGGAAGATATTGCGATATTATTTCTATCGTACTCGTCTCTCCGTCATGGCGCCCACCGATGTTCGAACCTCTCCTAAGGCCTAGCTAAGTAAATATGTGAAGTGAATTGTACATTCCCAGGTGCTCAGTCCGGGTACTTGGGTACTGACTGGACGGATGTCCGGGCAGATCGCTGCCGACTGGACGCCTTACTAAAGTAGTCCGGGTACTGGCGACAGGTGGGTTGGTGGTGAGCCAATTCTGCCTGTGCCATGACCCACGACGAAAACCTAATTGTCCGGGAGCTTTGCTCTGTCTGGACGCTGTGCAGTTTGTCCTGCCAGCTGATCGATGCAGGGTTAACCTGTAAATCGATCCTGAGCATAAAACTGGGTAAATTCTAACTAAAGTAGGGACTCAATTCTCCTGGCCAGAGATTGATGTTCCCGAATTATTCTTAGCCAGTGAACAGACGTGTTCCTGGAAATTCTGAAGCAGAAGTTGCGCAACGAAACTGCGAGTAGACAGAGTCGAAAGCAGTATTTCTTAAGCTGAAGTACGTATGCTGAGAGCAGTGCCGAAGCATACAAGTGTGCACACAGAATCTTGAGCGTAGCGTAGACAGCTAAAGCAGTGCCTGAGCTGTACAAAAGAAGTCAGTGCAACGAACACTGAGAACAAAGGACGTAGCTGAAGTATCCGGGTGAAACAAAAGAATTTTCTCGGATTTAAACAAAAGAAGCCAGTGCAACGAGCGCTGGACAAAGACGTGAAGTGAAAAGTGAAAAACCATAAGAATGGACATCTCGAAAAGCACGGCGTCGCAGCCGACTGGACAGAGCAAGCCTGCTACCAGGCAAACAGTGAAAGATGGTACAGCAGAACTGTTACCTAACAAATTTATCGTTCCGATTGGTGTGAAAATTGAAGTATTTCTAAACGAACTGAATGTTGCCATTCCGAAATCAGGGATATGTGGCAAAGATTTCGTTACGTATGATAACGATGAAACAAAAATGGGAAAGCCGCCGACAGGTTGGCGAGTGTGGCTGGAGCACAGAGAGCTGCCGCAAAATATTACGAAATTGTTTACTGTTGAAGCTTATAAAGCTGCAATGCAGAAGTTTACGGCACAAGTTCAAGCTACTCAAAGTGCAGCTGCACATGCGTATGAAAATGCTGGTGAAGTTGTGGGAAAGGTTGTGGGTCCTTTCGTATTTGCACAAAATAATAAGGAGCAAGAAGTATGAAGTGACTCCAACATTGAAAAAGATATGAATATGAGCATAATGGATGAGGACCTACCAGCTGGTGGGGTTGAACCGCTGTCAGCAGAGCCGTTCTTTTTGCGTAGTACAGTGGCTACGAATCAAGGCGACGAACAGAATAAAACGACGGATGGGATCCATCCGTTGCATGCCGCAGTGAGGCAGTTTGCCTTAGATCAAGAACAGTTTGACAATACTGTTCAGGCATGGGAAGGCAGGATTGAAAATGAAAAAGAATATGACGAAATGAAAGAAATGGCCAAAGCTGGTTTAAATGCAACTGAAGAAATGCATATGAAGTTTGTTAAGGCTAAAACGTGGTGTCACACACTAAGTGACGACAACGATGCCTTGAAAGAAAACGTGAAAAAATGTAACGAAGACATTAATGATTTGAATGAAAAAATCAAAAAGCACGACGAAGAGTGCAAAGAAAATGTGAAAAAGTTAAATACCGAGATTTTTGATTTACGTACTGAAAACGGTAAATATAAAGATGAAGTGGACCGTGTACGTAACACGAACAAAAACCTTGAAAAGCAATGTCATGATTCAATGGTTAATAGTGGCAAGCTGCAGCGTGACCTTTTCAGTGCGCAGAAAGAAAGGGATGATCTGCGTGTAAAATTAAAAGCCGAAGAATCGCGAATAGATAAGGAACTGAAGAAAGAGCGCGAAGATCTTCAAGATCAGTGGATAGTTATCGAGGAGGAACTCGACAGAGCTAAAGCGCGTGAAAGGCAGCTGGCTGAGAGAGAGGCCAGGCTGCAGCAATGGGAAGACAGTTTGAAAAGCAAAGGTAGAACTGTCAGTGGTCAAGCTGAATCCCGGGTACATACTAGTACTTATGAACGGGAAGCGGCATTTGGTGCAGCACCAAAGATGACTTCTGGTCAACAGTCGCAGGCGGATGCAAGCCGTCGGGTGGAGTTCAACGAAACCCACCGAAGTCGTGATTATGTACCAGTACGCGATAATGATTACGGGTACGAAGACGATATGCGCAGAGCAGAAGACGCGCAGTGGGAAGATGCACAGTACGAAGATAACGAGCAACCGCGTGTAAATACTCGTACCGACGAGTTGATTGAGCGCAGTATAGCGTTAATGGAGAAATTCGAAAAAAGTGGTAAGGGTACAAAAGAAAAGACTCACTACCCGCAAAACTACAAGGGTACACAAGAAAGTGGGAAAGTAGAAAAGTTCATCCTGGACTGTGAACGCTGTCAGGACTTGAACGGTTGGGATGACAAACAACTTATCGATAAAGGTTTGTCAAACTCACTGAAGGATGATGCGTATTTGTGGTATGCAGACCACAAGAAGAAAAATCCAGATAAAGACTGGAAGTACTGGACGGGAGTACTTCTAAGTCACTTCTCATCGGAGAGTGATCCCGCCGAAATACGGCAGGCGATGTACGCCCGTGTATTTACCGATGCACATACGGTAAACTCATACGTGGATGGTTATCTAAACTGGTTCAACACATTGGGAACAAGTGAAGAAGAACGGGTATCCATTCTGATTCAGGGACTAAAGCCGCACCGATGGCGTTGGTTCGAAAAGTTGACAGAGTCGAAACCAAAAACAGTTGAAGTGTGTACTCAGTTGAAGACGTTTTACAGTCTGAAGTCGCAACAAGTGGAGTACAATAACACCAAAAATCAATATAACAATAATAATTACGGTAACAATGGCAACCGTGGACGCGGTGGATACCGCGGTAATAATAATCGTGGCCGTGGTGGCCGAGGCGGATACAATAATTACCGCCAGAACTCGTACGAACAAACTGGAAGTACGTACGAGAAAGGGGAAAGTTTGAAAACTGAAAACACTCAAAATAGCGGCCGACGGCCGTTTATGATTGGCAATGTGGAAATTGACCTAAACAAATGGAAAAATGATGCCGGTCAATTGATTTGCTTTAAGTGCCATGAGTTGCACCCAGCAAAATTCTGTACTTTTAAAGGCAAATTCAAAGAGGCAACACGTGAACCGCCCGCGGACGTGTTAGCCCGGCACAACAGCAGAAGAGCGGAAGCACGAGCAATGGAAGTGTGTAAACTGGGCAAGGATGTGCAAGTGAATGCACTATCCGTCGAGCGAATACAGCAGCTCTCACAGTATCCCGATGCTGTGGAAAAAGGGTTTGAAGTCGCATTACCGACTCTGGATGCACAGGCTGTTTACGTACTGTTGTCTATGAATGACAATGATGACGTGAAAACGTTGGTGGATACTGGCGCTAGTATCTCCATTATGCCAATGCACATAGCGGAAATGTTGAATGTAAGCATTTTAAAATGCCCAGCACATGTATCAGATGTGACGCTTAATACGGCGGCAAATGATATTACCGATATTGACCCATTGTGTGGTATTGTACGTATCGAGTTATTCGGTATCGGTTATGAACATGCCGTATTAATCGATCCAAACACAAAAGTTGACTTCGTACTACTGGGTACCGACTTTTGGACTGGTAAGCCGGTTGTGTTTGATTTCAGTACGATGGCGTTCAGGCCTACTCGTACCGAACCGGGTTATCCCAGATATCACCCACGAGTACATTGGAAAATGTTGGATTTTGTGCAACAGAACAGTTTTAAACCAGTATTGAATCCCGGTGCACGTCCATGTCTTACGATACCTGCATGGTTCGATACTGGGCGTAACTAGACTACTGTAGTGCATTCGACGGAAGTAGTGTGACGTATCAACACCTGAATAACTGGATTAATAAAGAGCGGCCGACAATGGCTGTTAAAAAAGCGGAAGTACAGAGTACAAGTACAAAACGGAATGAAGTGACGCCACAGAAGTCATTTGCAAAAGCCGTGAAAGGCAATATTAAAATCTTAAAGAAGCCGCAAAATGCACCCGGTGCAACGTCAAGTTTGCGGGGGTGCGAGCAGCCGCAACAGAGTACGAGTACTCTAGTTTGCGGGGGTAAGTCAGATGTGGATGAAGGCACTCTGCCCGATGGTCAGTCTGTCACTTTCGGTAATTCTAAATTAGCCGAACAACTGACTACA